TTAAAATGGTTGTGATGGAAAGAAAGAAAGAAAGAAAGAAAGAAAGAAAGAAAGAAAGAAAGAAAGAAAGAAAGAAAACAGGAAAGAAAGAAAAAAGAAAGAAAGAAAATTTACGAAGAAGACAAATGAGATGGAAAGGTTAAAATGGTTGTGATGGAAAGAAAGAAAGAAAGAAAGAAAGAAAGAAAGAAAGAAAGAAAGAAAGAAAGAAAGAAAGAAAACTTACGAAGCCAAATGAGATGGAAAGGGGAACATGACTGTGAAAGAAAGAAAGAAACAAACAAAAAAGGAGGGAGGAAAATGTACCAAAACGTCAGATAAGATGGGAAGGGTGAAATAAGTGTGAAAGAAAGAAATAGAGAAACAAAAAGACATAATGGAATAAAAAGAGGAAATAAAAAGAGAAGAATTAGACGAATGAAAATAGAGAAAGAATTTATACAGAATAAATGAATAAAAAATAACAAAGAAAAGAGAAAGAACTAAACGAATCAAGAAAGAAAGAAAAAAAAGAAAAGGGAATAAAAGACAAAAGAAGGAAATAAAGAATGTAAAAACAAATAAATTATCCTCTCATCCGCTTCACACTGCTTCCCGTGATTTTGAACAGGAGCAGGGGTTTATCCATATTTTCCTGTTTAAGATCGAGTTTCCGGTTCCGTCTAAAAATCTATTCTCGATAACGCCCCTTTTGCGTCTTAATGGTATCATCGCCTTGATTCGATTGAATTAATAAAAAATCATGTAAGAAGAAAAAAAGTCAGAAAGAAAAATAAACGGAACAAAATTGAAGTAGAAAAGAGAGAAATAATGTACGAATGGCGTTCGGAAAAAAAGTGTGGGTGAAAAAGAGAAATTGATGAATGAGAAAAAAAGGAAATCTCGATAGTGTGAGAGAAAACTAAATATTGTTTAAAAACAAGAATGAATAGATAGATAGATAGATAGATAGATAGATAGATAGATAAGAATAAACGGATATAGAACGGTGTCATAGATAGATAGATAGATAGATAGATAGATAGGGAGAGATGTGAATAAACTGAGATATGGACAGATAGATAGATAGATAGATAGGGAGAGATGGGAATAAACTGAGATATGAACAGATAGATAGAGAGAGAGAGAAAGAGAGAGAGGGATCTGAATAAACTGAGATAAAAATAGATAGATAGATAGATAGATAGATAGATAGATAGATAGATAGATAGATAGATAGATAGATAGATGAGAATGAAGCGAGATATGAACAGACAGATAGATGGCTAGATTGATTCATATATTTGCTATGGGCAAATATTTAACTATATACATACATATATATATATATATATATATACATATATATATATATACATATGTATATAGAGAGAGAGAGACAGACAGACAGACAGACAGACAGATAGATAGATAGATAGATAGATAGATAGATAGATAGATAGATATGCTATGGAAAAATAGTTAACCTCACGTAATGGGTCAAAATTCTATGAAACTATAAAATCAGATTTTTATACTATCAATACATTTTTTTTTAAATTACCAGCAATTTATTTTGGAAAAAATATTGCCAGTAATACATTTTTAGAAAAAAATATTACCAGCAATGAAAATTTTGTCGGCATTAAATAACCCATTGAGGATGATATACCGTGAACCTAAACAAACCAAACAAACTTGACTTGAAGACGAGAAGATGGTAGTGATTTGGAAAACATCGTTCCAGCAATCTGTTCGAAAAAGCAACAATTCTTGAGAAGCTTCACGAGTTATCGTTCTTTCTTACTAATGTAATATGAAGGGAATGACGATGATTCATCCTTTTGTATGTGGCATGGAAAGGTTACGGCTGGTGGGTCCAAGGAATGTAACTCATGTGAAGACTTGTTATCCAAACAGCGATAGAGTAGCGAAAAACGAGACATTTCGTCTGTGGATAACAGGTTGTAAGGTGAAAATCTATTTGAGATCAAAAGATGAGTTTCTAGATTCTGGTCATCCAGATTATTGAACGTGTACCTTTAAAGTCGTATTATCTGAATAGATATTCACTTATATAAAGAATAAAGGTCCAATGTAATTATCTGATGTAATTTTAATTACATAAATTAATTTTATGTAATTTATATTTTATCTCTCCAGAATTTATCTTAATTTATTTTTAGGTCTACCATTCAGTCATGCTTTGAATCTTGCTACCACATCTGATCCGCTACTTTTAATATGAATTTTGCAATTCTTGATAAATTACAAAGAGTCTGCAATGTTATTGGTCCTGATCTGACATCTCTACTCCAGTCACTTTCCCACCACTCTAATACAGCTTCCCTCTGACTTTTCTATAAATATTTTCATGGTAATTGTTTTGATGAGCTTTTCTCTACGGTACCTAGAATTTAAGAATCTAAGCGCAGTACTAGATGGACGTAAAGGTCTCATCATTTTGCAACTGAAATGGCTAGAGATAACCGTAAGTTCTATGCTAATAGCTTCTTCTCTCGCACTTCTCGTTTGTGGAACACGCTATCGTCTTTCAGTTTCAAAACTGTAAATGCAATGCGAATCGTTATCTTAATTCCTGCTCTTTATTCTTTTCTGTCTTTAATAATGTTGTTTTATTTTTCCCATATGATCTCACAATCAGTAAAGCATTGTGCCTTAGTGGCTTTATTGCCTTGCTTAGAGGTGAAAAGATTAAAATAGTGTAACCCCAAGTTTATTTTTCCGTTTTAAGTGACTTAGAATTCGCTGGATGGGCGTTGCGGTTTAATGGATATTTACATCTCTTTTTCCTCCAGCTATGGGTTGAATAGCAGACTGGGTTCTTTAACCTTGATTGGCCACCAATCTACGGCAAAAGGTAATGGCAACCTACTGCAGGGAAAAATATCTGCCTCGTCAGTCATGTATCGAAAGATACATGCTCGCCCAAGGGTGTATTACGTGTGGCACTTAACTGACTGAGTATTTGCTGGTGGTAGTGTAACGGAATTTTTATTTGCTAAACATAAATTATATTGACACAAGAGCACAGTGAGAATCGAAGGCACTGCTTCGAAATAATGAACGACCAGAGTAGATAGTTAATAATTCTTCGCTAAGCCGTCATTTTGTGCAACAGATACTCGTGTGATATATTGACAATAGACGGTTATAACCCACCTTGGAAAAGTAACAACTTTCCCCTTTACGGAAAAACTAGCAAAGCATGCCTGTGCTAAATAGAATCTTGCTTAACCTGGTTAGATATTTATTTCTTAAGCGACATCAGAAACGGGAAACGAGGAAAGGTTTGACAACATGAAAGGAAGAAAAGAGAGATTATTAAATAAAGACAAAGATGAAAAAAAACTGAAGAGGTAGAGAAAGGGGAGTTAATAAATAATTGAAACATTGAAGAAATAATTTCTATAAGGAAATAAAAAAAAGATAAAAACATGTCGGCAGAAAACAAAGGGAGATAAGTGATGGCAAGACGAAAAGACGCAAAACTGATGAAAACGTGAACAAAAAATACAAAAAGAAGGCAAAGAGAAGGGAGATAATCGAATTGATAAACAAATTGGAAAACGCTGGAAAAAAGATTAAAGTGGAAAGAAAAGACGTGAAGTGAAAGATGCAAATTACTATAGAGTAAATTGAATTGTGGCATCAGAGAGTCGTCAATCCTACGCCTGTCTGATATTTAAGTGGCGTTTTTCCTTAACTGCGATGCCAGGGATCAGTGTTCGAGCCTATTTAGAACTTATGATTTCCTCATTATTAATGTACATGTAACTGGCTTCCAATTAAATAAAACATAGACTTATTTGTTACCGCGTCCTTTCGAGACGCGAATGCTCATGGCTTGTAGCGGAACCCCTGAAAATCGGTAGGTGGCGATATAACATGGCCTGTGCGCTTTAAATAAGGGATAGTCACAAGAGGTCCACTGACATTTTAAAAATATGGACGTGAAATCTGACAGGACAAGGTCATGAAGATATATAACATCATACCCATGATCATGTGAACGGAGGGGCGAAGAGCTATGATAAGCTCTCCACTACCTGCTCTCCTTCATAGCATTGATTGTATTCTTACTATCTATTCCAGTCCCTGATCTGTCACTCATTTACAAAAAAAATGTTAGGAGAGATCACTCACTGTTTCTTTTTGCCGCTCTGGTTTTCAATATATCCTGTGAGTCTCAAATTCTTCAATCCCCTTTTCCTCATTTATGTAGCAGACTTTTCACTGTTACTGATCCTAAGCATAAGTATTTTTTTTTTGCCTGGATTTCTGGGATAAGGATTTAGATTTATTTACACGATTTATATTCGAACGATTGTCCTCATCTGCATTGTTGTTATAACAACTTTTCTGCTATTGTAGTCTTCTTCAGGAAGGTCGGAGGGAAAAACGGTCAAAACATTGTGATAACAACAAAGATGAGGACAATAGTCCAAACATAAATCGTGTAAATACTGGTAGATGAAGGGTTCAATTCTCACTTCCCAGTAGGTGACCCAGATCGATATACATTTGAGGAAGACACAACGTCCGAAACGTTGTGATAACAACAACAAAAATAATAGTCCGAATATAAATATTGTAATTAAACATCCTTTTTTTTATAATTTTTTTCTTAACACTTCCTCATTGATCACATATTCATTCCATGTTATTCTCAGCATCCTTCTGTAAAGCCAAATGTATTTTATCCCAAAGCTTCTCTTAGTCTGTAAGGTAATTCACTGCCATATACAAAAGACTGTTTACACTATATTGTTTGGGCTATTGTCCTCATCTTTACTGCCATATTTACGACGTTTCGGCCGTTGTACACTCCAGTTTTCTTCAGGATTTGTCTATATTTCTGAGATGAGTTATTGTACATATTCATACTATTTACATTGATCGGACTGTTGTCCTCATCGTTATAGCAATATTCACGACGTTTCGGCCGTTGTACGCTGGAATTTTGATCGAACACTTTATTTCGTTTATCGAGGTAGACTGTTCTAGTTCCACGTGTCATGCCTTTTCTGGATATGTCAGTTTGAGTTCTTTCCCTTTATTAACTCAACTCCTCAAGATTTTGTTTACCTCTACTGTGAACAGGTTTTGAACTCACAACTCTTCGGGTCAAGTCACTGGATTATTTCACCCAACGGTTTTATCCACTGGGCCATGTGTTTGGAAAATATAGGCCGATATACAAAGACTTGTTTTACACAGCAGGACAGAAACCTTATCTTTGTCTCGGAGTAAATTTGCCACTTTCTTAATGCTTTGATTAACTTTTGGAAGGCATCATTTTCTATTCGAATACATTCTTGGATTTCTGTATCACATTTCCCGTTGTCTATTATAGCGTCCCAAATGGGTAAATATACGTAAATGTGCTTGTCTTTCACAGATCGCATCTTGGGCCGTTCCTATTTCTAATGGCCACACATTGTCTTTCTTCTTACAATTGATGATTACCACTTTCTTATACTACATTGTCAAGGAGTTCCAGCGTTGTCTTTCTCTTTCTGCTATCAACATGGAGTCATCTGCGTGTTTTACGCTGTTAAAATTGTCTCCACTGGTAATAAATCAGAGTTGGATATCCGGCTTTCTTAGGATAACTTCACTGTTATAGCTGAATAAATCCGGTGAGAAGACACATCCTTGTCTTACACACCTTTCTATTTCTGTGTACTTAATTACTTTTCTGTTCGTATGCATGTTTTAATCCCAGTAAATGTTTTGAATTATTCTAACTTCATTCTCTAATAAAGTTTTCCCATCAGATCAAATAGATCTTTGTGTTCTACAGTATAAATGATTTTCATTGTCTATGAAACAGCGTTCTTCGTAAAATATCATATTACTTTTACCATTCTATCTGTTCTGTTAACTTTGGTGTTTTCATAGATATATAGATACATTTTTTTTATTTGAAGAAATGTCGAACTTTGCACAGTAATCTAAACATCGTATTAGAGGTATGGTTCAGACAAAAAGGTATAATTAAATTGACGTAAAAAAACAACAACTGTAGTTGGCAATATGAACCTAAAAGAAAGAAAAACGGCGAAAACGTCAAAATTCTACAAAACCAGTTATTGCTCCCCACTAGTCAGAACTCGCTCGATGACATTAAAATGTCCACACTAACTAAAAAGGAAAAAAAGACATCATGGCGAAAATAAATACGTAACACTAATGCATTAAAACGGGTATATTTATAAACAAATAACATTAATAATAGTTTTATTTCCATATGGATAGCTGTCTTAATTTTAATAAGAAAAAATGTTTCAAGGACTTTTATATGTGTACCGTAACATAGGCATCTTCAATCTCTGAACAACTTATCAAAAATCGGGAGTGGACATTGTCCTTCCGTGAGGACGTGCGGACATGTTCTAGGCTTTTAGCGGATCAAATTCAAACTATCATTTGTTATTAAAACAATTTTTCATGCTTGTTTTTATTGCTTTGAATATTGTAAAGAATTTACATTTCCCTCTGTAAGCACATCGTAGTTCATGTCTTCTTCATTTTTAGACGTTATTTTTAAGATGTGGAATTTATAAAATATACTTTGCTTTTCAACCAGTATGCGTATGTTTATGGTAATGTTCACAACTGTGGTCGTTGTACACTCCAGCTATTCTCAGGTTTCTATTTTCGTACTCGATATACTAATATATATATATATATATATATATATATATATATATATATAGATAGATAGATAGATAGATATGTACAGGGTGCGTCAGAAATTCATACGCCCCCACTCATACCTTCCAGAAATACCCCCACTCAAACCTTCCGCATTAGTGGTAATGGTGTCTTCATCTAGCTAAACTCTTACCATCATGCGGGGGTATTTCTAGTGGGGATATGTCGGAGGAATTTCTCACGCAGCTTATACAATGCTGTACAAACATCGCTTCTTGTACGATTATCGAAGTTAAGCAATGAATCTCACACGCGGTTCACAGATGAGAGATAGATTTTCATTTTTTTTTCATTTACTCATTAACTTTCCTTTCCTTTTTTCCTTTCTTTTCAAAATAATTTATATTTTCTCTCTGTTTTCATTTCTTTACTTTTTGTTAAATATTTTTTCTTTTTTACAGATTTTTAATTGTATAATTTTCTGTATATTATTTATTATATTTTAATTTTAGTTTCTTCCTTCTTGCTTTCCTTCCTTTCTGCCTTCCTTCCTTCCTGTTTTCTCCTTCCTAATTATTTTTTCTTCTTTCTCTAATTTTTCCTACTCTCTTTCACATTTTATTTCTTTTTTACATAGTAGTATTTCTTTTTTTTATTTTCTTTCCCTAAATATTTATTTACTTACTTACTCATTTTCTTTTTTTTTCCAAAATATTTCCTCTATTTATTTTATTCCTTAATTTTTTTCTTTCTTTCTTTCTTCCTTCCTTCCTTCCTTTCTTTCTTTCTTTCTTTCTTTCATTCTTCCTTGAATTCTTTTTTCTTTCTTGAATTCTTTCTTTCTTTCTTCCTTCCCTGCATTCTTCCTTTTTTTCTTTCATTCTTTTTTCTTTCTTGAATTCTTTCTTCCTTCATTGAATTCTGTCTTTCTTTCTTTCTTTCTTTCTTTCTTTCTTTCTTTCTTTCTTCCTTGCATTCTTTCTTAATTTCTTTATTTCTTCCTTGCATTCTTCCTTTCTTTCTTCCTTCCTTCCTTGAATTCTTTCTTGAATTCTTTCTTGAATTCTTTCTTTCTTTCTTTCTTCCTTCCTTGCATTCTTCCTTTTTTCTTTCTTTCTTTTTTCTTTCTTGAATTCTTTCTTTCTTGAATTCTTTCTTCCTTCCTTGAATTCTTTCTTTCTTTCTTCCTTGCATTCTTTCTTTCTTTCTTTCTTTCTTTCTTTCTTTCTTTAATACTTCTTCATTCATTCTCCGATTCGTATCTTTTATTTCCATAATTATTTTCTTTCCTTCTTTCTTTCTTCCATATTTTATTTCCTTTCTTTCCGTATTCTTCTTTTCTTTGCTTTGCTTTTTCTTTCTTTCCTTAAAGATCTCCTTCCTTCCTCCGTTCAACTGTATTATTTTCTTTCGTCAGTTATATTGTTTTTGTTTGTTCTTTTTAGTTGATTTCCTTTCTCCGTTTCTTCCTTCCTTACTTCGTTCCCTCGTTCGATACTCCCCCCACCCCACCCACTACCACGCTCCCTTCCTTTCTTCCTGCTTTCTTGCTTCTTTCTTTCTTTCTTTTTTATTTTATTAATAATTTTTCTTTTTTTCCCTCTAATCTTCTTTTCTACTTTCTTTTCATATTTTATTTCTTTTTCCAGTCTTCATTTATATATTTTCTTCGCTTAAATATTTCATTCTTTATTTCGTCCTTTCTTTCTTTCTTTCTATATTTCTTCCTTTCTTTCTTTCTTTCTTTCTTTCTTTATTTATTTATTTATTTATTAGTGT